GAGGAGGAGGAGGAGGAGGAGGAGGAGGGAGTGGGTGCTGAATGACAGGGAGGAGGCCATGAAGCGTAGATACTGGTACCCGTCCCTGTCCCTGCCATTGTTACTGGCATGGACATGGAAATGGGGGACTCCTCCTCCATGTCTGGATCGGAGAGGGGGGAGAGTGAGGTACCGGAGATGATACTAGGGGAGTAACAGGTCATGATGCCTAGGCCGCTGAGATCCGGGAGCTTACAGCTGGTAGGCTGTCGGCTCTGTTGCTGTTGCTGCTGTTGCTGCTGCTGCTGAAGTCGCTGTCGCTGTTGCTGTTGTTGCTGCTGCTGCTGAAGTCGCTGTCGCTGTTGCTGTTGTTGCAAAGCAGCAGTAAACTCCCCAATGAGCATCTCAGCAGTGACGACGCCCACTTCCATCAGTGCTGGTGCTAAATCCAAGTTGCTGCTGCTACTGCTGTTTTGTTGTTGTGCAGCAAGCGTTACATTGAGAGTAACAGCCAGAATGAGACTGGTCTTGGCGGCCACCGGTCCCAAATGGAACTTGGCTTTCCACATCCCTGACAAGAACCCCAATGCATCCGTCAGGATCTGCTGGAACACATGCATGTGCACCATCGTCGTGCTTTGCTGCGGGTGAGGGGACATGGGGACATTGAGTTCCCGGAGTCGGGAGACGGTCCAGCAAGCTGCTAGTACGGCACGACAGGCGTCTGTCCAGAGGAGGTGGCATGCTATGTCTGTTATTTTTCCCGCTGCTACTGCTGCTGGAATTGGGGATGACGACTGGCAGAGGGATCGAAACTCGTGAAAGACGGAGGTGGAGTAGTCCCATATCTCCATGAGCGACGGCCGCTGCGTGCTGTGAGGCGGGCAGCCGAGGGTGGAGGCCAGGTTGATGATGGAGAGGAAGCTGTGGAAGGTGATGGAGAGGATGGATTGCTGGAGGGATTGCATGGGGTCTGTTGAGCTTGGTCGAGGTGAGCCAGAGCCAGGGCCACGTTGAAGCTCTGCAGGGAGGGAAGCAATGATGTCCTCGTACGCCGCCCTGAGCTCGTTCTGCAACTGGCAGGGGTCCGAGGCTTCCCCGGCTTTGGACGAGTAAAGAGCTTGTTGCATGGGTCCAACGACGTTGGCTAATCGCGCGGCCGCGATCCCAAAGTCCAGATCTGCTCTAGCCTGCTCATCCGGTTCGCATCCAAGTATGGTGGTAGTCGAGTCCGTCGGGGCTCGAAGACCGGCGGTGGTTGGCAGGGGACAGTCGCTTTCTTCCAGACGAAGGGTGAATTGCGTCCCGCTCCTGACACAATAATCCAGATTCAACCTCACAAAGGTCGCCCATAGCCTCTTTCTCACCTCCGCGTGGTAAGGACTGACATCCGCAAAGAGCGCAGGATCCCGATGCAAACCCATGTTCAACACGATCTGCGTCGTGATGCCGTACAGACCCATCAAGTCATATATCTTATCCGTGTCCGAGGCGGAGATCGTTTTCAGGACAATGAGGAGGAGATGCACCTGCACGACGCCGATGCAGGGTTTTTGGAACCGACTGGAAGAGTGGAGGAAGATCTCAACCTGGCGGGCTAAGCTCCTACCGTACAGGCGGTCGGAGGAAGAGGAGGGTTGCATGGCGATGGCCATGGCTAGCAGAACCTTAGAGAAATGAATAGGGTGAGAGAGGATGCCGATGTAAATGCGGTCCACGTCTGTGCCAAGGGCTTTGGGGTCGAGGATGGAGTAGATGCGGCCGTACGTGGCTTGGTATTGGGCGCACCACCGGTTACAGGTGGGCCGGTCAGGGAGGAGGAGTTTGAGGTCGGTGTCGCTCGTCAGAGTCGGGAGAGACGGGGGGACAGAGTTGTGCAAGCGGAGCATGGTCTTGAGCTCACGGAAGGTTTTGCGACACGGATTGAAGGGCTCGGAGTGGTCGAGCATGGCGCGGACGACGTCCATTTCGTTGCAGGGAGCCATCCAGTGGCTAAGCCCGATCATGCGGGTTTTGCTAGCTGATGATGTTTGGAAACGAGGGCTTCGGGGACTTGGTAGTGGTGATGGCTGCCGGGAGAAGGGGGAGAGTGCTCGGTCGATGCTGAGCATTCGCTCAGGTGTCTCCCAGCTGCTTGAGGAGGAGCAGCTCTCGGAAGGAGTATATGTCTGGAAGGGCGGGACCACCTCGATGGAGGGCGTCTGAGGAGGACTTTTACTGGGAGACTTTGTAATCTTGGTCTTGTCGGTACCAGGACTGACAGCAGCATGTTGATTGCGGTCCTTGTGGCTGCTATAGACACAACTTGAAGCATGTCCGCGGTCTTTGCATGGCTTGCATGGTGTTTCTCGATCACAACGAATCTTGCGAGTCCGGCATTGTTCACATGAAACGGCTTCTCTGACTCTGGGTCGTTTCCTTCCGCGTCCGACATCTTTCTCAAAGGTTGCGGCAGTGAGGTGACTGAAAGTGAGGGCCATTGTGGTGGTTCCACGCTGCTTAGGCGAAGGAACTCGATGTGTCTTGAGGTTGGATGACGATGTCATTTTCAGGGCGTTTCTGTGAGCTCGGTAGATGAAGAACGGAGATGGACGTCATTCCGGAGAGGGGGGTAGGGAGCCAAAGCTAGGGTTATATCATCATGGGCACCTCGATGGCCAGACTCCGAGGAGACACGGATGGTACACCATCAATGATCCCCAGATCTTTGCATACCGCTGTTTCAACGTAGAAGCTTCAAGGAAGGAAGCTCCAAGCTGTGACACTATGTGCACTGCCATCGTCACTGCAGAGAGGGCGTAACTTGTGGCCCGAGAGATGACATTTAGAAAGGTTACTCGGCGAATGACGTGACACTCGGCTCGGTACTGTCTCTTTGGGACAGGCGGAGGTTGCAGCCATTCATCAAGTCACTGACTTGGAACCGTATGTTGAAAGCCACAATGTGCCGTCTTCGTAGTCGCTTGTGTTCATGACCGGGAAGACCCAATCTGTGCCAGCTATCGTTCCTTTGGCCGTCATAACAGTTTCTGACGTTACCATGTTGTATAAGGCTGTGCACTGCATATGGCCTGGCTGCACGGCGGGACAAAAATGTTGTCTGGGATGGACCATGATTCGCTTGAGACCATGTGGCTCGGGGCTGTGCCCCTCTTCCCGAAGCTCTCGTGAAGCTGTTGTCCCCTTCAGCAGCTCATCGGTTGGGCTTGAAGACGCAACGCTGATTGGTCCTGGAGAGCTCTCCTTATGTTACACTACCATCAATCCATAGGGGACCTGACGAGCTTTCTGCGGCACGTCAGATTGGCGGGCTCGGCAGTTTACGTTACATCAGGTGTGTATGTGTGTGGTGTGTGGTGTGTTTGTGTCGTTGATTTGGGAGTCGAGAGCGTCTGATATGGCTTCGGTTAGTAAACTGCGATGATCCTGGGGAAATGGTAATGCTTCGCGAGGCATCTCTTGCGCATCGAACCGTTATGAGACAGACTGATATCAAGACATTCAATATTGCTGTTCGGGTGTGATGGCCTGATTTTTGAATTGTCCAGAATCTAGACATTAGCTAGCACAGTAGAGAAGACGGTTGACGTCGTCAATTTCTCGACAACGTTACAGTTGGGGTGAGGTGACGATACCATACACCGCACCGGCGGGTTGACCGCACGCGCCGTAGCCATGCATCCAAGCCAAGGAATAAGCCGTAGTCAGCACTGAATCTTCCAGCCGTTCGACACTGGACGGGATAGAGTTGATGACATGTGCTTTCAACGAATGAACGACGAGCCATTCCGTTAGCAGTCGTAAAGTGCATTGTGGCCTCACCAACTTGCGGTGAAAAATCCCTTTTCCTCATCCATTTTTTTTTGATCCGAAAGGTTGCATACGTACGAGGACGGCCAGCAGAGGTAGGCTATGGCTCACCTGATGAAGCTCTTGGTTGTGTCACAGCAAAGGTCCACGGCACAAACAAGAAGCACACAACGGAACTGGTGGATCGTGGCATCGTGGGGTTCTTCCTCAGCCTACCTTGCCGTATCTCAGCATCGCGGTCCCTTTGATAATCAGGGGAGAGACATGGGCAGACGTTCTAGACCGCGGTCGATATCTCTGATAGTCTGACTATCCCAACCCCTGGTTCCGATGTGGCGGGAGGATATTGCGTTTGCCTGTCTTGTAGTTATAATGTGTTTAATGCCTCTGGGACATTTGAGGCGAGCTTCTCCGTTGTCGCCGTCAAACTGCGACTCTGCCGTGAACAAGTGTCGGTACACTACCCCGAACGACTATCCGTCCCTTCCAGACCCGGGACGTCATCATACGATGTCAGCCACCTGTGATATCGTGGAGTCTCATGGAGACACATCTGACCTTTCTCCTCACGTCACACAACAGCTACCCTCACCATCTATGGGCGCTCATTGCACGGAATTCGAGGACTAGCGTCGGGGTAAGCTCCGGTGCAATGGGCATTGAGGTATTCTAGTGTAGCCAAGAGGGTTTCTTCCCTGCGCCTTCGCTAGAGGTATGTTCCTGATAGGGCTGAGAATGTGCCTCCCGAAGGCCTCAAGGTCCGATTGACATGGGTGTCGCTGAAGCCGACGGAAGACGGCGATTTGGTTCGGGACTGGCCGCTCAAAAAGGTATCCAGGAATGGCTGGTAACGTGACGAGCCGAGTTATGTAATTGATACTGGCAGATATTCTGGGATGAGGCTCAAGATTGACCAGATGCTCAAGCACGGCGTAGGCATCTGATATGTAACCACAGCGATGATGACACAGCCGGCGTCCCCATATATCGCAGGTGCCTCTCCCTCACAGCCGTCCGAAGCCCAGCCATATATCATACCTGGTGCTGAACATTTCTCAAAGCATAATTGATGAACGTCGCCTTACGCTGTCTCTCGCAATTGCCAAGATGCTCCCGCGAAGACTGCTGTGGCGCGCCTGGCACACAAAGGCTTTGATGTCTTGCTCAACCGTGCCAATATTCAAGACAATGGGGAAGTACGTGCGTTGGCGGTTGTGCTCATTGTTGGTTCCTCTTGACTGTTCGTCTGTTGGCAGCTGTCAAAGACACCAGTCGCGTGATGGGAGCCGGTGCTTCACAAAGAGGACCTAGCAACGAGACGGCGCGTCTGTCGAGTGGGCGAGACGATCATTTAACTAGAGTTGAAGATATCGATGGCCTGTAAAACACTGATATGGGCGTCTGGAAAGGTGAAGATTGGAAGGGAATGACTGGTCGTCGTTGTTTCTTCAAAGTTTGGACGACAGCGGGAAGCTGTGGGGGGTCTGGGGGGTTCTGGGGGGTCTGGGGGAGACTCCGCGCGCTAACAGTGGACAATGGCAGGGGGTTTATTTTCGACCTGTTTCACGGATTCCCAATTCAGTATGATTTCAAACTCTTGGCCAATCAAAGGCCGTAAATGGCCATCCCACCTTGCTTGCCGCTTGTCCACTTCAAGCGCTGAGGCCAGGGTGCAGGTGGGGCCTGGTTTGAGCAGTGCGCTTGTCTGGTCGAATCGCTGACAGAAACAAAGTCAAGAGAAACAATCGACGAACGACATCCACTGAGTCCAGATTCACCACGCGCTTCTTCAAACACCACCATGTCAGAACCCTCGTCGAATCATAGGTTTACATGGAGATCACGTCCTTTCAATGGCATCCCCCCATGTCCTTAACGCGGGAGAATCCCTACAAGGCGATCGTGTTCACTGCCGCCCGTGATGGAGGCGCGTGAATGATCCGCATACCTTGATAGCCAGCCGTTGCTGAGTTGTTCACACCAAACTGACCATGTCCAAACTTCATGACAGACGGTTCACGGTTGGGAGCTACCCAGGTCAACGGGATGAACAGTAATAGCACGGTATCAGTGACCCACAATGGCGCATAACCCTTCCCGTCAGATAACCCATGACCACGGGAAGTAAAGGCATTGTATATATCAGAGACGTCAAGTGCCTTTCCCATTATCTCATGCCAGTTCACAGAACAACTGCCAACGCATCGTTTGTTGGGTCAACCATTTTGCCCTTTCTATTTCCCTTTCTTTTGTGTTTGGGTTTTCCTATTTCTCTAGCGCTCTGGTCATACATCGTCCTTCGTCCTTGAGCATCATCTTCCAAGGAGTTCCGGGTTCAGCTCTCTTCGACTTTCTCTTTTCAACAGCAAAACATCAAATAATTCAAGTGTTGCTGGTCAACATCACCGTATTATCTTTCAACGCTGCAGCTCTCGATCTCGTTCTCACTCACTCCTCGATAACTGGCTTGTCGGTCACTTTTCACGGCATCGAGACCACATCCACCTAATCTTCTACTATTGAACTATTCTTTTTTTTCGACCACATTCAATACCGGCAAGATGGGTAAATTCGCCGGTAATCTAGCCAGAGCTGGAGCAGAAAAGGCAGTGGCTATCCAATGCGGGCGTGAGTTTTTCTTTCCTCCCCTTCATTTCACTTTACAGTAAACTAACCATCTCCCTTTTACAGCCTGGTTCAAATTCATCAAACTCGCCCCTCTAACTTTCATCATCCCCACCATCCTCTTCCTCATCCTCTCCCTCGCCGGCTGTCTCTCCTCAGCACCCACCATCCCCTCCCTCTACGTCGTCGCCCTGACCTCCTCCTCCAACGGCACGCTTGCGCCCATGCAAGTTCGCCTCGGCTACTTTGGCATGTGCGGCGACGACGGCGACACGCGCACCTGCCTGTCCGCCGCCGGCCACTACGACCCGGACGAGCCCCAGGACATCATCCACCTCACCGAGCTCTTGTTCCCCCAAGTCATGAACAACAGCAACGCCCGCGGCGCCATTCCGGAGCTGCAGAACATGGTCTTGACAGGGTTGGATCTGCAGGACCAGATCTTTGGCAAGGTGCTCCTCACCGGCTCGGCGCTGTTCGCCCTGGGCTTGGTCCTCATGTTCCCCCTGAAGCTGGTCAAGAAGAAGCTGGCCAAGTTGGCGCCGGGTACTCCGCTCACCAAGAAACAACAGTTTATCAGACGGGGGTGCTACTCGACTATTTGGGCGGGGCTCATGATTGTTTTTGCCGCTTGTATTGGGACGACCGAGACGGCGGGCGCGCTGGGGCATGCGACGGCGCATATCAAGGGGTCGAGCATCCTGATGAAGGAGGGGGTGACGCTGCAGGTGCTGCAGTGGATGGCGTTTGGGTTCATGTTCCTGTTTGTCTTGACCATGCCGATTATGTTGTTCGTCAAGAGGGAGAATCCCCTGGATCAGTACATGAGTGCCGAGGGCATCAAGGAGAAGGCGTTTGGGTTTGCTAAGGGGTATGCGATGGATAAGGTGAAGAAGCCAAAGAGGGCCAAGTTCTTTGGAAGGCAGAAGTCCCAGCAGGAGGATATGGTGTGAGCTGGCTGGCTGACTGGCTGACTGACCGTGAATGGAAGGGGAGAGAAGGGGTGGTACGGTAAAAAGGGGGAAAGATATCTATCTGATCTGTGAACGATAGAAGGGAGGCGGTTTGCGGTGATCTGGTTCATATATCAAGGCGTTTTTTGGGTGTCTTTTTTTGCGGGATTCGGTGGGAGGGAATGAAAGATCAACGATATACCATCGCAAAGAATGCTCAGCACTGAATTTCGGGGAGTTATCTGGATAGAGCAGACTACAAGACCTTCTTTAATGGTAAAATACCAAGACCACCTAACTGGCGGCAATCCACGCCATGTTTTCCCTGATTTCTGATGATGACGGGGAAATGCAGTGAAGATGCAACGAAGGTACCTGCGAAGATAGGCACTATTCAGCAGATTATTGGATACTGCTCCTACCCTCCATCTCGAGAGATTATGGCGATCCGGGGACCGCTCCAAACACGAGGTGGCATGGTAACACCAATTGCCTTGATTGGGGATCCATTCACTACTACTATCTCACGAACCTCATTGGATCGGCTTGCTCCATTCTCACCTGCATAAGCTCGCCATCCATGGAATTCGCCAGCACAGCAAGCATGGCGAGCGAGCGCAGGGTAAAAAGGTAGGTAGTACCTGTGACGTTGTTTCAGCTCAACAACGGGAATAGTTCCGAGGCCAGGATTAAAACCGGGGTTAGCTTCCAACTTTATCTTCATCTTCAACTTCAACCATATCTCAGCATCACCGGCCACCACGAAACTCACTGGTTCACTGAAGCCTACTACAAAAGAAAACAAACTTCGCATCATCAAACTCACCTTCACAAGCAATACACCTAGGAGACTTGGGCCATCAAGGTCAACAGCCCACCATGTCCGCCTCTACCAATATAACCTCCACAGCCCTCGGCATAAAAGTCATGTCCTTCCTCACCTCCATCTTGGCAGTCGGCATCGAAGCCTACGCCAAACTCACGGGGAAAAGCGAAGATACAGAGGACCATTCATGGCAGAAGCCTGGACCTGACGACCGTAGGAAACCACTTTCCCCCTTCCTTTTCCTTTTTTTCCTCCTTTTTTTTTTTTTTTTTTTTCCTTTTTTTTTT